ACCCCGTTATTAGTAATCCCCGCTCTTCCTTGTTCAATTCATCCTCCGTTGCAGATAATCTGTCTCCATGGAAACTGGAGCTGGTCATGTGACCACCGTTCAGCCTGCAATGTATCCGGGTATCGGATGCAGTTGCCAGGCAACCCATTATTGGTGTGAAGTCTGCAGTGTGTGGGGGATGTAGTTGGGGGCTTATAATGGGGAGCCCTCCCCAAATACTCTATTATGGCATAAATAATGTTATTGAGGGGTCCCTGTATTGCTGGTATTTTGGGGTTACTGTCATGTTTTTACTGCTGAGGTATTTTGGGGTGCATTATAAGGAGCCTCTCTTAGGTGTGCTGCACCTGTCTGCACCCCCCCATGCTTTTTTGTCCTTAGGTATCCCTGCCCCCATACCTTCCAGACCTTTCTGTCCTGCTCCCCCTCACCCCAATACCTCTCAGTCCTTAGATGCATCGGTCATGTCTGTGGAGGTGTGCAGTGTCGGGGTGCTGGTCTGCTGTGTGTGTAGTGTGGGGTGCTGGTCTGCTGTGTGTGCAGTGTTGGGTTGCTGGTCTGCTGTGTGATCTGTGGAGGTGTGCAGTGTCGGGGTGCTGGTCTGCTGTGTATGTAGTGTCGGGGTGCTGGTCTGCTGTGTGTGCAGTGTCAGGTTGCTGGTCTGCTGGGTGATCTGAGGAGGTGGGCAGTGTCGGGGTGCTGGTCTGCTGTGTATGTAGTGTCGGGGTGCTGGTCTGCTGGGTGATCTGTGAAGGTGTGCAGCGTTGGGGAGCTGATCTGCTGTGTATATAGTGTTGGGGTGCTGGTCTGCTGTGCGATCTGTGGAGGTGTGTAGTGTTGGGTTGCTAGTCTGCTGTGTGTGTTGTGTCGGGGGGCTGGTCTGCTGTGTGATCTGTGGAGCTGTGCAGTGTTGGGGTGCTGGTCTGCTGTGTGTGTAGTGACGGGGGGCTGGTCTGCTGTGTGTGTAGTGTTGGGGTGCTGGTCTGTTCTGTGATCTGTGGAGTTGTGCAGTGTTGGGTGTGGTTCTGCTGTGTGATTTCTGGGGGTGTTCTTTGTCGAGGTTCCGGGCTGCTTTGTGATCTATAAGGGATGTTCTGTGTTGGGGTGCTAGTTTGCAGTTTCATTTGTGGTGGTGTCCTCTGTTGGGGTTCTGACCCATTGGGATGGTCATGCTCATGTTCTCTTTTCCAGGCCAATCACACAGAGGACCATGAGGCTCAGTTCTACTCCGTTCCTTCCAGTCAGGTGAGGTCCACCTTCCCCCACGGCCTGCCTTCACGCTACCAGTTACAGGTGAGTCCCGGGGGTTAATGGGGTGATAATAAACCTTCCCGTCCACCCCACCTGTATTCACCCCATTGACTCTTCCAGTGTAAGACCTTCAGCGAGACCTGCCTGATGGTGCGCCAGCCCGCCTTGGAACTCATCGACTATTTGAAGAAGACTGACTTTTCCCAGCCTGCCGTGCGCTACGTCTTGTGTATCCTTCCGCCACTGCCCCCATTTTTCTTCTTCTCAGAGTCACCCATACCTGACCAGCATGTTTGGGGTCTGTCACAGTGCAGGTCACGGACACCTCAGAGGAGAAGCAGTTCATGCAAGGACTCTACAATAGGCTCACCAATATGAGAATGAATTGGATGGATGACATGTTGGAGATGAGTGAATTGCAGTGATAAGAGATGAACTGACCCCCCAATAAGGGTCCTCTATATTCACCCCCCCCCCACCACCACCACCACCAACAAACACCAGACTCCATCTGCACTGGACAATGTCATTGGTTGGTTTGGGGCTGCACAGGGCGGATATGGCTTTGTGGGACAAGTCACAGGCTATGATGCATTCTATTCATCTCCAATAATCCTCTTCTTCCTTAACACTTTGCTCCCCAAGATGGTAAACCTGGGACAGGGAAGAGTCTGATACTGTGCCACGTCCTACACTTCTGCCACACTCAGGGCTGGCTCATGGTGCACCTGCCTGACGGTAAGTTCTGGGGCACTCGCAAGGGTTTATGTAGGGTGCATTGTCTAGCAGTCGTAAAGATCAGTATAGGTCGTGGATATTCAATGTCAGCCAATCAGATCTGGGCTTCCCACCGCATCACATGACTTATTCAGGGGGATGCATGCTGCTGCATTAGCAGTCTGTCTTCACTAATTCACACTTGAGGCCTGATGACTAATCAGACTTTCCTGAACTGTATAGTCGTGCCAGTTTCCTGATTCAAAGAACAAAATCTTAAAAATTGGCATTTTCAGCCCCCCTCTAAGGTACTAGTCACCCCCGATCCTTTCAGCAGAGGTGATTGGTGGATAGTGGGGTGGAGGGGCTGTGGTTGCACATGTAGGGTATTGGTGGACGGTGGAGATATTAGGCTCTGTGGTTAAACATTTATGGTATTGGTGTGTGTTGATGGGTAGTACGGTCTGTGCACACACCTCTAGGGTGTTGCAGATGGTGGCAGGTAGTATGGTCTCTGGACACACATGTAGGGTGACGGTGGTATGGTCTGTGGACACACATGTAGGGTGTCGGTGGACGGCGGGGGTAGTATGGGCTGTGAGCACAAATGTAGGGTGTTGATGGACGGTGGGGGTAGTATGGTCTGTGGGCACACATGTAGGGGGTGTTGGAGAATGGTGAGTGGTAGTATGGTCTGTGTTCACACATTAAGAGTGTGGGTGGGATGGTGGGGGTAGTAGGGTGTGTGCTCACACATGTAGGGAGTGTGCTCACACATGTAGGGAGTCGGCGGTGGTAGTATGGTTTGTGGGCACACATGTAGGGTGTCGGTGGATGGTGGAGGTAGTATGGTCTGTGGTCACACATGTAGGGGGTGTTGGAGAATGATGAGTGGTAGTATGGTCTGTGGTCACACATATAGGATGGTGGGGGTAGTAGGGTCTGTGGTCACACATGTAGGGTGTTGGCAGAGGGGAGGGTAGAAGGTAGTAGGGGGGTAGTACCGGCTGTGTGTCACTCATGTAGTTTATATGTTGAGCTGTGCAATGAGTTGGTGACCCTCGGTCCTTCTCTGCTTCTAGCCCACTTGCTGGTGAAGAACTGTAAGGAACTGATGGCGTCGTCGTACAACAAGGAGCGCTACGACCAGCCGCTGGAGGCATCTGCTTGGCTCAAACACTTCAAAGTTTCTAATGAGCAATTCCTCTCACAGGTGACTTGGCCATGGAGTCCCAGGGCTGGCATGTTCATAGTATTGTTAAGATTCCTGAGGCCTCTGTTTTCCTGTTACCGGCTGGTGGTGGCCTCACCGTATAATGGAGGATAGAGAGTATCTTTGTGGGCTCAAGGTCTGTGTGATTCCCACATCCCTCCAGTATTGAGGCCTTATGCAGGTGATACACAGTGAGAGTGGGGCAACTGTCTTAGGGCCCATGAGGTCAGGGGGGCCTTATGTCCCACTTTATGCTGATATTGTATTCTGTAGAGGAGAAAGCAGAATGTACTCCTTTACATGACAGAAAGTCCCTTTTATATAGAGAACATGACAATGGAGAGGTTGAGTCTCATTTTCTGCATCCTTTCTCTAGTTTGAGGAAATGTGATATCTGATCTCTGTGATTTCAGTCTGAAGGGCCCTGTCCTGTTTGTATTTGGGCCCACGGGCTTTCTTCTGCTACTGGTAACCTTGGTCTGTTTGTGTTGCAGGTTGTGACCCAACAGCGGTACGTCTGGAGCAAGCGGGAAGCTACTGAGGAGGGGACACCGCTGGGCGCCGTAGTGGATCATGTAACAAGATTTTTTTTTTTTTTTTTTTTTTTTTTTTGAAAAAAGTTTTTTTTTGTCTTTGGGGGCCCGAAG